TTGTAAACCACTCAGAAAGTGCTGTAAAGCACTGTGAAGATGTATATAAGTCTAAGTGTTATTATTTTTGCTATTAACCTGGAAAACAACATGAACATGCCTAAAGAATCAATAGGAGTCAATCTTAATTCAAGGGCTTCTTAATTTTATTTTCCAGTGCTTAGTGGGTTGCTATAATGATTCCCCATTCCAATTTTTAAGAGGAAATAACAGCCCAATTCAATGTTTCAATATTTGTGTGTTCGCATAAATAAATGCTCTCAGCTTCCTGTTTTGCGGCTTTGTGGTTGCCTCTTTGAAACTACACACCAGAGACAGGCAAGCAAGTCTGCAGCAGCCTGTAGCTTCCACATCTCCCTCTCCAAGAAAATAAGCTCCTCTCCCTCCCCTTTCTCTCTCCCCCCCCCAATAAAATGAACACTTCATTCCCATGTAAAGAGTTTCCATCATATATAGCCAGAGCAGGAGTCTGTGTTCTCCTGGCTGCTAACTCTGGCTTGGCTGATGCCTCATTGTCACTTTAATTTCTCACCAGAGCACATGAAAAACAAAATGGGTTGCTGGGAACCTATTAGGAAGTATTTTACTTAATTTACTTCATTTGATTTCGGGAAAAATGTTTCTGTCTCAGAATCTTTCTTCTGCAACTGTTAACATTTTATTCACCCAGCTCTGAGGCATCACAACACAAAACTGTTATAAATATTGGCTGTACCTACTGCCAACCTCTCTCTTGCATCTGTTCTGAGTCACTGCTAAATGGAGTTGTCCTGATTTATCAAAGTTTATTTCCTTAGAGAGAATGTGATTAGCTCTCTCCTCTGGCTTCCTCAACACCCCCTTTAGTATCTCCCCTGCCAATGGGGAAAACATCCACCAATCAGGGCTTCTCTCAGCTGGTATAGTTGCCTCTCTTGTGTTAGACAAAAATTAATATATGAGAGAGCCCCAGGATGGAAATAACCCCAGAGAGAAAGAGGGAGAGAGGCCTTATTATGATTGTGTAATTACTTAGGTCCCATAGAGACTGAAATTAGCTACTGGACCAGAGTTCTTCCATTATGGAGCAGGAGAGGGATTGAAATGAAAAAATAAGCAACAAAAGCAAGTTCAGGGTCATATTATCTGGATTCCACAATTTCTGCGTCTGAGAAAGAAGATATGCTTTAGAACAGGGGTGTCCAACCTTGACAACTTTAAGACTTGTGGACTTCAATTCCCAGAATTCCCCACGCTGGCTGAGGAATTCAGGGAGTTGGTCCACAAGTCTTAAAGTTGCCAAGGTTGGACACCCCTGCTTTTAGAATAAGTGAAATCAGCACACATGTATGCCTTTCACATTTCCAAATGCAGGAAAAGTCTGCTCTCATCTATCTGATTGGTATCAAACGGAGGTGGAATTGAAGTAGACTGAGATAATGGGACAAAATGGTAAGGGGGCAAATACATTTAATGAATAAATAAAAAAAATAAAAGGAACCCAGCTAGTGCTGGGAGAAAATTATATAGAGACTGGCTAGTGACCAGAGGAGGCATACTGTATCTTCCGCTATTCCCAAAACACACCACAATAGATCAGCTGATCTTGGCTCAGAGTTAACGAATGATAATTTATTCCTTTGAAGTTGTGGCAGATTGTGCCATCTTAAGGAGGAAAGTACTACTTGAAATGGTTAGATGGTGTCATCAATACAGTGGGCATGAGTTTGGGCAGATTCTTGGAGACAGTGGAGGACAGCAGGGTCTGGTGTGCTGTGGTTTATGAGGTTGCAAACCGTTGGACACAACTTAGCGATTGAACAATAACTACTACTTGAAAACAAGTTTATCTGATGTCAGCTTCAGGCTGGGAATGAGTTGACAACATGATCATGTAGCCAATGAAAAGGACTGTGCCTCATATGTCCTTATCAAATCCATAACAGGAGCAACTACTCTGTGCCTCCTCAGAAAATACTCCTGGAACTTTAGACCATTCCATTTCACAGATCTGAATTTAGCATCCTGGTAAGAGGGAGCCACTTCTGGCTTCCTTTCTTAGCTTGATTAGATTTCCTTTTAGCGCCTTCCGGGATGTTTGCCAAGGAGCTGAGAGATTGCTCTGGGAAAACATCCAAGAATATTGGGTCTTCCTCTGTAACTTCCTTAGAAGAATCTGTCAGTGATGGGGCACAGTCTCCCTGTTGTTGGAATGTTTTTCTTCTCCCTTGCTGGGCTGTTTCAGGAATGGACTCAGGAACACTTCCACTGTCAGCCTGTGGGAAGTTGGGTATATCTCTTTTCCCTCATTTAGAGCTGCAATCACAGCAGGTTCTTCGGTGGCTGCCTCTCTAAAGCAGTTTCTCAAGCTCCAACTTCTTAAGGTCATTCTTAACTGGGAGATTGCATTCCAGACATGGTTAGCAAGATTCTTATTCAGTAACATGATAAAGCACTCCACTGGAAAGATAACTAAAAATGAATCCCTTTGCCCTTTGATCCTCCAGGTGTACATTACAGGACATAAGTGTTGCTTCTTTAAAGGGGAAGGATGAAATCTGGAGATAAAAGGACAGGTATGTCTCACTAGGCTCCCACTGAACATCTATCTACTGCGATATTAGAGTAGAATAGTTAGAAAAGTAGAATACTAAATTCTGGCAGAATGAAAATTAGCTTTTGAATCCATTCAGGGTCTCCTGAACTGATCTGGTTAACCTGCCTTTAGTTTTGCTGCAGTCTGCCTTACGTAGAGCCCTGCTTCTCCACCTTTGAAGTATTGGAGAAGAGATTTATCTGCAGGCTTGTAAAGTACTTGTTGAGATTTTGCAAAAAAAAAAAAAAAAGCACATTAATAAGATCCCCAAAGAAAGTTCCCATTAAACAGTGAAAACCTCGTTTTAAAAAGCACTTTCTGTATTTTCATTTTGTTCACCTTTAGAGGGTTGAAGTGAATGCTGAGAACCAGCAGGCAGGGCAAGTTACCTTTACAACAGCTTCTAGGGTTTAAAAGCACTCTGCTTGAAGCCTCTTGAAACTTCACCGAAGTTTGAGGTATTAGAACGGTTCTCCCATGTCTACCACTCGTAACCCTCACAACTGCTCTGTAAAGGCATATTATCCCTGCAAGAAATAAATGGGTTTGGAACAGAAGGAACCTGATGACAAGTAACTAATAGGAACCATGTTCCCCATTTCTGACCTATAAAGAGTCCCATCAAAGACCCTGGAAACTGGGACTTCCATAGGACGGATCGCTGGAGGAACCTTCCCCATTTCTGTCCTCTTCCTTACTGCCCCTCTCCCAGGTTTTTCCGCATAAGACGAAGCCCCCCCCCCCACCGCGACCGTCTGCTTGTTTTTCCACTCCCACAAAGCAGATCAATAGACTTCTGGAAACCGATCACGAAGGCGCTCCCAAGCTGAAGTCCAAAGTCTTTGCATGAGTTAAAGTTCAGCGGTCTGGAAGGATGTATTTGTCCCAAGAAAAGGACGGTGACAATTTAAAAATCTTCCCAACGTGTAAATTTGCCCTGCAGTGATAAAACAAAACGCGGAACTTTTCCGCTCGGCAAAGCGAGACTCAAATTCTCTTCCTAGGTAGAGCAAACGGCTTTCCATCTTTCCGAAGGGGCGTTCAAAATAGTTACCAAGCAGCGGGCGGGCACACAACCCTTTGACAAATAAACCCCAGTGAATCAGCTGCGAGCTACCTGTGACTTTTTAGATCAGGAGGATCTTTAGGAATATGCTTTCGCCCCGAAAACGGGCGGAGTGAGGAAAAGTGCTCCGACGCAAGAGACAGCCGAGGAACGTAAGGCTGAAACCCACGCCAGGTATCCCGAAGGTCAACTTTGCTATAGGATTTACTTCTGAATAAAATCCATTCTGCTTCAAACCTACGAACCCATTTAACTGCATTTAAATCAGCGGGGGGGGGCTTCTGAATATTGGGCTTTCTGGTGCTGTAGAACTGCAACTTAACCCACCGCTGACGGTGAGACACTTTGAAGCCCCAGACAGACTCAGCTTTATTTTTGAGAAAATCATACTGATGTGTACTTGCAATTTGTGGAAGTTAATTCCGGCAAGAGCTCAAGTTGTAAAATTCTGGTATTTTGGGATCAAAGTAATGGGATTTACTTTAAGACAATTTCTGTCCTGACTAGTATGTATTAATAACTGGCTAATCCCCAGCAGAAGAATATTTCATCTTCAGTTAGCTTTCATATGTCTAATATTGAATTGCTGTTTTTTCCTGCAAATAGACAAACATAAATAAATCCCATTTTTTAAATAAATAAGTTGATTTAAATCCAGACTTGATGCCTTTTCTTTTCCATTTATGATTTATGCACATTTTAAGCTTCTTAGCAAACCCTGATACTTTTTATGGCTTTCAAATGAGTAGAATCAATCATTTTTTTTCTTTGTGAATACTTATTTAAATTCTACCACAAATAACCTCCCCAAAACATTGTATAAAAGCAAAGCCCATAAATTATTTGCCTACAGGCCATTTGAGTATGAACAGTGAATAGTGTGTTGATGGAGATGTACCTGGGATAGTTCTTTAAATACTTGCTTAAAGAAAAGTCATGCAGCACTTTATAACTTGGCAGAAGAAAGTATTTACAGTTACATTGTTGAATCTTCTTTCCCATGCTCTGATCATTTCCATTAATGGCTTCATTTCTTAGTATCAAAGCTTTTGTCTTAAAAATGCACCCAAAGTATCTATTTATTTGTAATCCCAGGTATATAACAATTGACTGTTTATTCAGTGGAAAAATAGTCAATGCTATTTTATGTTTTTTTAGAAGTTGGCAGAATAAGAATGATTATAACTGAACTTTAAGCTTAAAACTTTCATTGTAACTTTACATTTTGCAAGATCCAATTTTGGCCATGAACAAGGTTCTGGGTTTTAAACACTTTAAATTTCAGTTGAATTGAAGTCCTGAAACAAAATATTCCACAAAACTTAATAAGAAATGTAGCAAATATAAAATTGAGACAAATTAAATTAGAACAACATTTTATTTTGTTCATTTTATGGTCAGCAACATTATACATTTAAAATATAAAAAATGTCTCCAATATTTCTCAAAATATACCTACTTTCTTAAGCTTGATGTCTACATCTGTAATATACAATTTCCAAAATATTTCTGTTATTGATTAGTGCACTTTAAAAAAAAAACTGAGGAGCTTAGTCCATAAGGCACAATATTGAGCTTATAAAAAAACTACCAAATGATTGGATGCTGGAACATTAAATGAAATTATCAGGACTTTTGCATAGTTCCTTGAAAAAGTCTAAAGTAAATCGGATGCATTTTCAAATATATGTTAAGGATTAGATGATTGTTGTTGATAAAGATGATGATGTATGTGTAACAGAAAATGAATGGATTGTTAAGAAATATTTACCATTCTCACAAGTTGATAAATTACATTTAATTTCCAGAAAAGCAGCTGTTATAAGACATAGAAAGTTAGTGATCTATGAAGCAAACACAAAATATTTGGTATGTGATGAAAATCAAAATTAGTGGCATCTCTTGCCACTAATTAATGGATAATATATTCTGATTGGAGATTATTCTGTGGGAACTCTAAGAACTGTGCCATCAAACTGTTTTTCGATGGATAGAATTCTGTAGATTAGGGCTCCGTATCTCAACCTTTGAATGACTCTCAGTTCATACTTCAGCTTGTAAAATGATAAACTGAGTTTATGCCTTAGTCAAAAGTAGGTCTAAGTATACTCCCTTCAGCATTTTGTGCTATTACTTTTTGTTTTAATGGACAGGTGAAAATAAAAGACAGCAGAATGAACACAGGAGAAGAAAAAATAATAGAGATGATGCAAAAAAAAAAAAAAAACCAAATGGAAGGAACAGGATAAACTACTCAAGATAAAACCATTTAAAAATGGATCTCATATCAGATTTAAAGAGGTCAAGAGAGAAATGGCCAGGTTCAAATTATCCTATTCTGGACACATTATATGAAGACCTAACTCTCTGGGGAAGGCAAAAAGAAGTCCAGGATGACCAGCAGTAAAGTGGACGGACACAATTACTTTGGTAATAAGTGCATCATTTGAAGGCCTTAAAAACCCTGTTAGGAACAGATTTCTATGGAGAAAAATCTGTATGGTCACTAAGAGGCAACACTGACTTGATGGCATTTAATCAACCAAATAGGACTGTAAATGCTGAAGGCTGCCTACATAAGGCAACCTGACTAGATGCTGAACCACTAATGTGGTTTATGGGACTAATGTGGAACACCAGCTTTTCAGCATCACTTTAAACTTCTGTCCCTTCTCTGCTATAAATCAGATTGTTCACACTAAAGGTACTCAAGACAGGACTGTTGAGCCAGCTCGACTGCCCACCAACACCTGCATAGTAATTCATCCTGGAGTGGGACTGGGAACTGAGTTCAAATGCTGAAGCTGGGTTGCCATTTGAAGGAGAGCAGGAGTTCAAATTGGGCCCATTCTGTCTCCCAGATGTGAATTCGGATACTGGCCCACCAGGAAGCTGTCTGGGGAAACCATTCCGGCCATGGGCCACAACGTTCATGGTTGAGACAAATGTGGAGAAACAATGGCTAGAGTCCAAGCTGTGGGATTTGCAGTCATTCCTAGATCCCAGAGAGCACTGCAGCTCACCAGAGCCCAAGCTGCGAGGTTCAGGGCTTGGCTGAACAAGACAACTGTTACTTTTCTCGTCCACTTTGTTATTGACTCCAGGCCCACCAGCTGCATCAGATCGTCTTTTCCTCTTCCTTCTGAAGTTGCCATTATCAAACATCTTCTCACAGTTGGGATCCAGGGTCCAATAATTTCCTTTACCTATGAATCAATGGAGAACATGTGGGTTTAACAGGGGTACACAAATACTCTAGAAACTGAGATACTGAAATGATCAGAACAAATGATTCTAAAATGGGTAAAGTAATTGGAGGACACAAGGCAAAGGAAGTGGAGCAGATACTACCTAACACTGTCTTAAGAATTCATGACAGAGCTGACATTCAAGTCCAGGACTTCCTGATTGATCGGAGTTTTAGTCATGGCAGCACACTTGGACCATTTTCTCACTTGTGATTTATACTGTCACCCAGCATGGCTGTGGTGACAAATCACTAACGGAGACAGATTTTCTATCACCGTAGCAATGGATCAGTGACATTATAAGCTGAGATGACCACTCAAAGTGACCCTTTGATTGTATAATTCACATTAGTGGCATAAGGTAAACTTAACACGTCCTTGGAGGATCCATCAGTTGTTGCGAGGAGCTTGGAGAAACAGCAAGGCAGAAATGGAGCAAACAATATTTTCTAGCCCACAGTAACTTGAAAGAAAACACCATTTATTAAAATAGGCTTAGGTGAACAGGTGTTAAGATTGCACTGCAAGCAGGAAAGTTACATTCCCCATGTTTAGAATATAACGCTTAGAGTGGCATATATATTCATCGTATCAGTTTTGGATATCCCTTACATTCACAACATTGCTATATGCACACAAATCAGGTAAGAGCTTCAAAGGTATGTTAGAATATGCACTATTATTTTTACTCTGCTGTAAAAAATTATATAGGCTCCTTCTCCAAAGTTGGGGGGGGGCCTCCTCCTGGACTCACGACTCCTGCTCGAAGAGGAGGTTGCAGTTGCGACCAGGAGAGCAGGAGGTTGTGCCACAGTTGTGGCCTTTCCCGGATAAAGAGTCCCTGCACTCAGTCATTCAGGCTCTAGTCATCTCAAGGTGGGACTATTGCAATGTTCTCTACACGGGGCTACTCTTGAACAGCATTCGGAAGCAGTTGAGATGCGACATGTCTTCAAGGAAAAGCAACATCCAGTTGCCCTTTGAAAAAGCACCTTTGGGACCCAGACGACTGAGTATCTCCATAGATAACAAGCTCCTGGGGCTGCAGCCCAGCCGGCCCTTAGGTTTCCTCTGACAAGCGTGAAAAGGACAGTTAATCAAATCTCCGTTCCCACGTGACTTCCGTGCCTCTCAGAGGGAGAACGAGGAGAAGCGCGGGAACGAGTTGAGCCTTCCCTACCTGGGTCGTCCTCCAGCCTCGGCACCTTCTTGAAGCAGTCGTTGAGGGAGAGGTTGTGGCGGATGGAGTTCTGCCAGCCGGCTTTGCTCTTCTTGTAGAAAGGGAAGTTGCCGGCCACGTACTGATAAATCTGGCTCAAGGTGAGCCTCTTGGCCGGCGCGCTCTGGATGGCCATGGCGATCAGCGCCGAGTACGAGTAGGGCGGCCGCACCAGCTTGAAGAAGTCCTGCTGGCCGGCCAGGGACAGCCAGCTGAGCTCGGGGGCCGCCGCTTGGGCGGCCAGCAGCTGCCTGGCGCCCGTCCCATAAGCCGCCGAGGGCACGACGGGGCCGGACGCGCCGTTGGGAGCGGCCAAGTAGGGGCTGTGCGCCATGGGCGCACCGTTGAGCCACAGATAAGGGCCGCCGCCGCCGCCGCTCGAGTCGCCCAGGCCGTGGCCGCCGTGGGGCGGGACTTTCGGCGCCTGCGAGGTCGGGAAGAGGCTCCGGTTATTGTCGCAGAAAGTGGCTGCCGCGTCCAAGAGATCGCGAGCGCTGAGGGGCTGCTGGCCCTCTGGTGGGTTCATCTCGGCCGCTTCGCGCACCATCAGGTCGAGCGTGCGAGAGAAAACCGCCAGCAGCGGTGCCGGACCTCCGCCGGCAGCGGAGAGCCAGTGGGTTAGGAAGGAGCGGGCGGCGCCTCCCCCTCGCCTGCCCATCTGCCCCCCTCCAGGGCCCGAGCTCACCTCTCCCTGCACCGACCCCCGATGACCTCCTTCTTTCCCCAGCGTCTCTTGCACCCCCGCCCTCCTCCCGTGATCCACATCAAGCCTGGAGGGCCCCCACTCTTCGCAGAAAGGGCTTTCCTCTCCTGTCAGACTGCCCTTTGGGGACTCGGACTCGTTTTTCCAGAAATTTATTCCAAGAAGATTGGGATCGCCCACTGAAAAAGGAATAACAGCAGAGAGTGAGAAGTTATAGATTGACTGTAGGACTGTACAATTTGTACTGCAGTTACAAACACAATTGAGCCCCAAATTTATGTTGCTAAATGAAACATTTGTTAAGTGCCTTGGCTCCATTTTGTGATTTTTCTTGCCACATTTAAGTGATTCATTGCATTTGTTAAGTTAGTAATATGGTTGTTAAAGTGAATCTGACTTTCCCATTGACTTTGCTTATCAGAAAGTTGGAAAAGGGATCACATGACCTCGGGACACTGCAGCCATCATAAATATGAACTAGTTGCCAAGCATCTGAATTTTGATCATGTGACATCACAATGGTCATAAGTGTGAAAAATGGTCATAATTTCCTTTTTTCAGCGTGGTAACTTTGAACGGTCACTAAATGAACTGTTGTAAATCGAGTACTACCGGTAGCCTGAACATACACAGATCCTTTGCCTTAAGTTCTCAACCCACCAAGGAAGATGATGGTGGGAGTGTTCCACTGTGATCAGACAGTCTGCTAAATTTAAGATCTTTTAAGCACCTGATACCAGATCACTTTTTTGGTCCCATTCACTGTGCAAGCTCAGCTGGTGTGTTAATATGAAAATAAAAGTTCCACTGAGACATTTGAATGATGCTTGTCAATCAATATATCTCAAGTGCTTTCTGGAATTCCTTAAACACACATAGGTTGCTTCTAAGCCACACCTGAGGTACACATCCACAGGTTGACAATCACCATGGTGCTGTGTTAGTATCCATGCTTGTATTTTAAAGTTGTACCAGGTAATCAGTTATTTCTTCAACCAGGATTGATCAATACATTTGGTTTTCCCAAGTGAGTAATGAATGAGGCTGCCTTGCCTATTAGCTGTTTGGAGAGGTTATGGACCAATTCTCTTGTGAAAGCTTTGTTGTTTAAATGATTGAACAATATAACTGAAATGCATGTAGTTTTTACATGAATTCACAATATTTATCAGACAGGCAGAAAACTTTCATGTGCATATTCTAGCAGCAATGGAAGGTGGTGATTGTTGCAAAATTCTACCAAATGCACAAACATCTTTTCATTAAAAATTTTAAAACGTTTTATATAAATAAATCTGCTTTTCTCATCTTTGATACTAGAAATTCTCACTAAATAATACATGTTCATATTATTTCCAGTGTTTATTGTCTCTCTGCAGTTGTTTGCTGTAATTAGTACAAAAGAAAATAAAGTGAAAAATTCTAGTAATATTCTTTGTTTTCCTTCTTCTGTTTTGTTTTTCTCATGGTCATGACAAATGTCTTTGATAAGCAAAAAATTTAAACATGAACACATTAAAGAGGAGTATCAAAATTTAAACATTGCTCTGTTGTGTTTAAAGCTTCAAAGCAAGACTTCCAATGTACCAAAGGTTTGACTGAATCATTTTATCAGAGCAGAACTGATGCAGAAACCCACTTCAATGAAATGAATCATGAAGCACCCTGTAGCCTTTGAAAGGCTTCACAGATTCAATGACTTTTCTGCTATTTCAAGATTATTACAGACAATGTATAATATCACAACTTCACCTGCATAAATATAAAAATACCAAAAGTGGTGTGGTAGGTTCTCTGACATGACATGAGTGGATATCATTGAGTTTTCCCTCCAACTCTACCCTTACTTTCTCAAGTTTCAGCTTTAGTGGGCCCAGCCATGAGTCTTAACTTTGCCTTGTGCAAATGGAAAGTTACATTTCTTATAATACAAGTGGTAGTATAAATAACCTCTTAGCGTTATAAACATGGCTTAAAGCTAGCCAGTTCAGTAGACAGTGATGTCAAATTGTTAATCTTGTAGAATTGGGGCGGTTTTAAGTATCTTGGTCATGAGTGAATGTATGCCAGGCTGACATAGGTACTAAAATATTTACTGCAGTTAAGAACAGTGGGGAAGATGGCAAAGCTATAAATGCCACTTTCTTTGTGACAGAAAGAAAGTAGTAGCCACTATTGGCTGCCAGCCAACTAGATAGCAAGCTGGATCCCTGCCATAGTCCAGTGATATACAGTAGGAGCTCAGGCAGAATTGTATTTTGGAAGAAAGAAGTCCAATATCTTAGGAAGGCATCTGTAAACATTGTCAACAGGCCTGGCATAGGTCAAGACCAAATCTCCCGTAAACAAGCAAACTATCCAAGGGAAAAGACAGGAGGCAAAATGATGTAGAATCCAGAGTTCTAAGCAATGCACAGTAAAGTCATTACAATAGGCTTGAAAGTATGTTCTTCATGTTTTCCCCCCTCCCAGGAAGTCAGGCTAATAAAAAAGCCAAATTAAGCCTCCACTCAAATGTACAGCTGAGGTGCATAACTGGTCTGCTGGTCTGCTTCTTGCCAAATCTCACCAACCTACACAGCATAGTTCTTTATATCCTATGCCTCTGTCTCAGAGTCTGAGACATTTTCAGTGGATACAGGTAGGAAGTTCTGCCAGTTTTGGATCCACCTCAGCCAAGCAGAATCAACAGCTCCAACCCTATGGAATGACCCAATCCAGTCATTACACCTTTTCCTCCAACAGGGCACCACCTCTTTCTTAATGATGTGCCTTTGTGGCTTTGTATCTTACTCCAAAGTCTTGCAAACTAATATCAATTATTGTCAACAAGCCATAATGTGACCCAACCAAGTCATACCCATAAGATTCCAACCATTACTAATGGTCCTTTTTCAGCCTGCCATCACTGAAGAAGCTTATGAGAAGGTCCTTATCAGGATGGCCTACGTTTACCAGGCAAATACGCCAACCTTCCACAAAATTCAGTGATTAAAACCAGGAAAGATGCATTACATCATCAATGGTATTCTTCTAAGCCTTCCCAAAAAAGGCCAAGCTTCGAATTTTCTTAATCAAGCTGGTAACCTACCATAGCCAATGGTGAAGAAGATCTCCCCAGGCAATTAAAGCTATACAGTAAAAGCTATACAGTAAAAGCAACTTCCAACTAGGAGAATTAAAGGTAGAAAGTCTAACAAGGAACTGCAGTAAGATTCCCTTTTGTGTCTTACAATTCCTCCTAGAATCTCCCAGCCATTGCTGAAGTGATAGAAAACTGTCCCAATTGTTGTGTGATCCCAACAATGATTGGATATTTGCACAAGATACTGTAAATCCTTAGCGGGGATTGTGTCTTCTTTTTTGTTTCTGTTTTTACTTTCCTCAGTTGGAATCATGATTCTCTTAGAGTTTGCCTTCTTGCCTTCTTCCTACATGAAAATAGAGCCTTTTCTGCATCTTCCCCCCAAATTAAGGGGAAAGCTCAGAGAAGAAGGCCTTACATGTAATTTCTTCAATAAATCTTACTCATCCTTTCTGAACTTAAGCACTGAAATAACTTTAGTGACTTATTTCTATTTATAGTCATATTTATGCACTGCTAAATACAGAATTTAATGAATGAACTGAAATATTCTATCTGGGTTCCTTCAACATTTGTTTGACCTCCAACTCTGCCAACTTCCATGTTTTCCCCAAAACTCAATAGAGTCAAACAAGCTACATCACCCCACAGGAGTAAACTAGTGTCTATTCTTCAGCATTAAGCCAAGCCCGACACTGCAGAAATGCAGATACTTTAAACTGGGAAAGGGGACTTTCTGCTTTGCTTTCAACACAAATTATCTATACATTTTTTGCTAGTTAATAAGGAGACTGTTGGACTGTCTTCTCCTCATTTCTGCTATCCCTGACTTTAAAAAGAAATATAGGAGGAATATTTCAAAATATTATTGTGGGGAAAACACTTGATGGAATTAAGTTACAACTTTTCTCGATTCTGTCCTCAGAATGGTTTGCCATCCCTGCTTTCTTCATTCCATACTGCCAAAAATAAAACAGTTACATAGTGCTACAATAAGTGGGCTGCAGAAATCAAGATATCCACTAGATGGCATGAAAAGAATGAACAAATTCTTTCCTGCCATCTAGTGGTTCTCTGGATTTTTGCATCCCTGATCTGATAAGCTCTAACCACCATGGTTCAATAAATTACTGAAAATGCAGAATCATTTGCTGGAAGGCTAAGCTTTTGTTTGAGCGTACTAAAACCAGCTTAAAATACCTTCTGTGCAATTAAAAACTGCTGGTGGAGCTGTCCCTCTTAAACATGGCTTCCCTTTAAACAAGAGATAGAAAGATCAAGCCCGGTTTCCCCAAGTAAAAATAAACTAAGACAGTTTAATTGAACCTGGGAGAAATTCAGCTTGATAGCGGAGAGGTGCGTCACTCAGACAAGTTTGAAAAAAAGTTCAAAGATTGCACAGGCCTACCATATAAACAAAAATATATAAAATACTTATTTATCCATTTACAATACAGTCCTATGCATGAAAATAAATATAATAACTTGTCTCACTTTAATTTTCATGAAATTGATGACATCCTACATATATACAAATGGAGCTGCATTCTGTGGCTGTAATTCTCCATATATTTCTATGTCAATAAGCCCCTTTAAACTCATTGATATTTAATCTTAAGAAGCAAGCAAAAAATTGTCCTGCTTTATATTCCAAATACATTCAGTGAGGTTATGTGCTTCTCAAATTCCCAAGAGTGTAAAGCCATTAAAATGAAGAGAGAAAAGGAATTTGGGAAATAAATTTTGTTTCTAAGATTGAGTTACTCTTGGTGAATGACATGAAAAGGTATCCAATCATAGATAAGTATCTCAAGATGCCTCCAAGCAGTGTTGATGGGAACGAGACAAGGATTACATACTTACAAACAATGAGAGCTTCCTGTTTTCTTCTCTGCCTTAAATATATATTAGTTCCACAGGGACTGAGAAGTTTAGAGAAAACTGTGAAAATTATTAAGTATCTTGGCTGATTAAAGTCTACACCTTAAACAAGTAAACATACAAACTTTCTCCTATCCCATAAAACACAGGTGTGTTTTTGTATCTACCCTTTAAATAGATTAATGAACAAAAAGGGAAGATAAAGAACAAACAATATGATATCCTATCTAAGAGATCATTTCTTAATTGTCACTAGGCTCTCTCTCACCTCTATCTGACATTTTTTCTTAGAATT